TCAAAAGCTCCACCAGAGCTTTCAGCCTCTGGGACTGCAAAGAATCTTTTCCTTTAAAAAAAAAAAATCCAGGATGAAATTCCCTTATTGAAAATACACTATTGAAAATAACAACAATCCAGGAGAATAAATTTGCAGAACAAACATTTGCCATAATCCAGAATGAAAATGAACTAGCACAAGTTCACATCCCTGGTTTTATCCTCCACCCCCTGCAAGCTGCTGCTGCCTCCAGCTTCTGCGAGCAGTGGTCATCCAGGACACAGCAAGAACACACCCAACAAAGCAAGTTACTCACCCAAGCCAAGCACAACCTTCCTCCCAAGAACAAAAATCATTCACTGTCTTAAATCTCCTTTCCTGGCTGAGCCAGAGACTTGCTGTTCGCTCCCTCAAACCACATCTGAGCAAAGTTTTGAGCCAAACCCCCCAAAACCCTTCCCAAGCAGCACAGTACCTATATAAAAAAGCTGCTGCCCTTGCTGCTGCTTCTTGTCAAGGACCATCCCCTCCAGAAAGCTCATCTCTTCCTCCTTTGGTAGCCAGGGGGCTATGGAGGGGTGGGTACAAGGGCAAACCCCAACCAGGCACACCTGTGCTCAAACGCTCCTCTTCTCCATATGTTGTCAGCCATCACCTCCTCCTGCAGGCTTTGCTGCTTTTTTCCTTTTAATAACTCATGTCAGCTCCGTGTGATTTTAGGATGGTTTTGGGGAAGCGTGATGGTAAAACTCATCTCACGTTGATGAGCAAGACCCTCTGCTTTCATATAGCTGAAAATACCCCGATGGGAGTCACAGAGAAAGCTGGAAGCAGATCCGGAGGCCACCTAAAGGTTAAAACAGAAAAGGAGGTGACAAAAAGATCAACCAGCCGATTATTGCTTGAAAAAGGCATTGTATTTCCCAGGTTTATTGCCATGTCCAGGTTTATCTCATGGTGCCCCAAGGGCTGACTCATTTCAGCCGTTTGGGATTGCCAGGATGGACAAACACAAAGTACAGGCGGTGGCTTCTCTGCCGTAAGGCTCTGGGGCTGAACCGTGACCCAAAGGGACCTAACAGAGAGGGGCTCAGCCCCGGCTCTCCCCCAGGCTGGGGCAAGGAGCCATCCCTGGAGGGGTGTCAAGCCAACATGGGCAAGGCCATCCTTGGAGGGGTGTCAAGTCAAAGCAGCCCTAAAGATGCAGGTGCAGATCCCCCCACCGAGTCTGGAAATCCCGTTGAGTGTAAACCCCAGTTGCCCATGGCTGTGGGAGGGTCATGGGGGGGCTGCGGGCAGGGGAGATTTCCTTTTCCCTTCTGCTGCGTTGCATGACTGTAAATAACTGCATAGGGCTCTCTACAGCTGCTCAATGTTAAAACAAACCAAAAAAAATCCAAATGTTTGCTTCAGCCCTGTCATTTATTACCTGTCAAAACATTAATTTTCACTGGTTTATATTGATGCTCTGTTCACCCCCAGCTGTTGCAACTGCAGAGAGAGAGGATGCCAGCAGCTAATAAACAGGATAATAACACAACTTCCTGCGTTTTGGAAAAGAAATACTATCACTTTTACAATGTACATTATTTTTCCACAGAGTGCAATTTATTTCACATTTTTCATTCATTGCTAGCAGCATTTCTACTCCCAACAGATGCTGCAAGGCAAGCCCGTCTGAAAAAACTCACAGCTCTTCCATAAACCTCTTCTGCCCAGAGGGGAGATGCTCCGGCGGGGTTGGATGGGGATTTGTCACAAGCTCGGTGCTTTTTGCAAACCTCAGCTCTGGGACCTACAAACCTTTGCGTATTTGTGTGGTCAGGGGACGAACCCTGCGGCGATGCCCACAGTTAATCCTGCATCCGTGGAGAAGCAGATCCCAGCTTTCCCCTCCCCATGCGTCCTTTGGGTGTACAGAGGTTTTCCGGGAGCAAGCTGTAAATCAGGGACACATGTAAAGCAGGGACACGGTCCAGCAGAGCAGGTTCGCTCCCCACCGGAGGCAGTGGGAGGTTTGGCTTGGATGGACACAGCCAGGGGGATGGATGGGTGCCAGCTAACAGGGATGATTTTTCAGTCTTTTTATAAATGATAGCGATACCTCTGGGCTGCAGCAGCTGCCTCTATAAACTGAAGAGCTGCCAATAACAGGGAAGACTTGTCATGTCTTAATTAATGCTGTGTGCTGGCTGCTGGCTCTGGGTGCCTATTAGATGTCTCTCCACCTGGTGTTGTTATTATTATTATTATTATTATACACAAATGGGGAGGGGGGAAAGTAGAGGCTAGCTTTGGCTTGACTCATGCTCAATGGCATCCCTACATGCCACCTGGAGCACACGAAAGATTGAACGCTGCAAACCTCTTCTCCCGAGAAGGACCAGACCCCAGCCCAGCCTCAGGATTGTGTTGTATTTTGGGAAACAAGGTGGAGGTTGTCCCCTCCTTTCCACCAACCCCCCCTCTAAAAGCCCTGAGGAGTGTCTCTTCAGTGGAAGAGGCATCAGCTGTTCAGATGTTTATTTCCAATTTTTTCCCAATTCCTGGCATTTGATTCTGTTTCTGGCTGTGTCAGCCACGGCCATCTGGGCAACTACCACGGGCTTTCTTAAGGACAGGGTTAGTCTTCCCGCTAACCTCCTCAGGCTCTTGTATTGGTCGTAACTCTGGATTGATGGAGTTAGCAAGGATGGCAATAAGAAAATTTATTTAAAAAAAAAAAAAGTCTGGATTTTTATTATGGCCCGGTCAATAGCTTGAAGTATTTGAATCACTTTTGGCTCATTTGAGTAACTGAGCTCCTTTGGGGGAATTTAAAGTATTAAATCACTGCATTCCCTTTTGGGAGGATATTTTCTCAGTTAAGCAAGCCTTGCTGGTTCCTCCTCTCTAGGCTTGGAATAAATTAGGCTTAAATAATAAATTGTCATCTCTATGACAACAGATACACAGCTTTCCTGAAGGAGACATTGTTTCAGAAGACTTGCCAGGTGGATCACAGATAAGAGACTCCCATAAATTATATTTTTGGCTCCCACATGTAAAACATTATTCTTGGTGCCTTTCCAAAATGTGATCAGCCGGCACAGGCTATTCCACCACTGGGGCTGTGAGCCTGGGACAGTCCGAGGGCTTTTTGCTGTACAGCCAGATCACGCGGCTCACTCGGGTCTGGAGTCATTGGATTACCACTGGTACGCTTGGGACAGCTGAGAAGGTGAGCTGAGGCAAAGAGGGATGTTCAGGGAAATTAGTATTATGGCATTTGAGAAAAATAAAATAAAACAAGAAAGGGCAACAGCAAGAGGGAATGCGTTGGCCAAGACATCTCAGCTGGTCATCCACGGGTGAGGAAGACAGATGAGAGACCATCCTATATGGTGAGGGTTGGTGGTAGAAGCTTAGGCTGAGCATTTTCCTATGTTTGAGGTACTACCTGGGACAGCACAGGCAAGAAGAAAGCCATCCAAGTCCATGGGGGTGATTAAATGCCAATTATGTGAGTGATGATTCCTCTTCCAAATAAATGCTTGCTATGAACCAGACTCTAGCCAGCATGAAAATATCTTTTTCCAGCCAAAGCACCACAAGAGCATCACAAAACCACACAGTTTGGCTTTTCTACCTCGTGCCTCGTCCCTGCCCGGCCAGCACAGCCACTGTTTCTCACTCTCCGTGTTTTCCTCCCGCAGGTCTCACACTGGGTGCTTTGAAACAAAAAGAATAAAAGGAAAACTCAGATAAAAGACCAAAATGAGGAAACACCGACACTTGCCCTTGCTGGCAATGATTTGCCTCGTACTCTCAGGCTTTTGCTCGGTTCGTGCCCAGCAGCAAGCAGGTAAGACCCCAACTGCTTTACCCAACTGCCCCCCCGTACAAATGTGCCGCTAGTCCGCACCGAGACATTTGCACCCTTTGGTTCTTAACATGCATGTTGACGGTACGTTGTGGTTTACCTTCTGCTCCTCGGTTCCCACTGTGCTGAGGGTCCTTTCGGACCCAGACCTTGGCCAACGTGCGCAGTGCCTTCCCAAGCATGTCGCTGCCCGGTGGTGTACCTCTGAGGATGCTCTGTGGGGGACAGGGGCATGGGATGTGCACCCACGGTGGCCCTGAGCGGGTTTTCTCTTGGGCAGAGCTGCTTTGCCCTCCGTGCATGTGTAGGAGGGTGTTTTGCAGCAAGACAAACACTGCCACTGACCTGCAGAAAGGCCAGTTGTTTTTTTTTAAGAAGAAGAGCTGGTGTCTTTGAGACAGGAGCTGGTGTCGCCGCTGGGTGTTAGCACCAGGAAAACTATGGAAAATTCACGCCAGCACCTAGACCTGCTTAAATTGAGCAGCCCTTTCTTCCTCGAGCACTGCCGTGGAGCCATCAAAGCCCTGAGCCAGCTAAAAAAAAGCAGAGGAGACCACGGGGGGGTTAGAAGCCAAGGGAGCCCAAATTCTCACGCGAAGCCACAGGCATCTTTGCTTGGCTCAGGGCTGGCGTCCAAACCCACGCAGCGAGGGTGCGGGAGAGATGAAGCGTCTCGCCTCCCCCTCCCTAGGAAGGGTAGGTCGCATGTTGTCCCCTCCTGTCCCCCAGCTCCTGCGGTGTCGGGGCGCTGACGGCTGCCTGGTTTTCCCCCAGCGCTTCTCGTTTTGCTGCGGGCGATAAGGGGAAGCTCAGCTTCACTTTCACCATGCGGAAGAGGTCATTCGGGTGAGGAGGAGGAGGAGGAGGAGGCGTGCTTGTGCTGACTGATAGAAAATCCTAAACCCCCATCTGTTTTTTTAAAGCTGTCAAAACCATTGCCGTGGCTGATATAATATTTCTAGTGGATTCCTCTTGGAGCATTGGGAAGGAACATTTCCAACTCGTTCGAGAGTTTCTGTATGATGTTGTAAAAGCTTTAGATGTGGGAGGAAATGATTTTCGCTTTGCCCTGGTCCAGTTCAGCGGAAACCCCCACACAGAGTTCCAGTTAAATACCTACCCCTCTACCCGAGACGTCCTGTCCCATATTGCCAACATGCCTTACATGGGGGGAGGCACCAAGACTGGAAAAGGATTAGAGTACCTAATCGAGAACCACCTCACTAAAGCTGCTGGAAGCAGAGCCAGCGAAGGCGTCCCCCAGGTTATTATAGTGTTAACGGACGGACGCTCCCAGGATGATGTGTCTCTGCCATCATCTGTCCTTAAATCGGCCCGTGTAAACATGTTTGCGGTCGGCGTGCAGGATGCAGTGGAAGGGGAGTTAAAGGAAATAGCGAGCGAACCCTTCGATACGCACCTTTTCAACCTAGAGAATTTTACCGCTCTCCACGGCATAGTTGGAGACTTAGTGGCGAATGTCCGTTCATCCATGACTCCAGAAAAAGCTGGGGCCAAAGGACTGGTTAAAGACATCACAGGTAATGGCTGACTGCTGGTGGCTCCCATCAGCGTGGTATCTGCTGGCATTGTGCTCTTTTAAAGCCTTTGTAGAGGCAAGACTGAGATGGACGTTCAGAGGTTTAAAAAAAAAGGTTTGAAGAGTGTGGCCCCGTGTTTGTAGCTACCAAGCGTGCCATTGTTCACAGACCGAGCTGGTGTCCCTGCCAGAGCTGCCAGGAGGTAGCGCAGGAGCCCTTGGATGGGCAGCGTCCCGTCGAGCCCATCCTTCCCATCCTTTTATGTCCACAGCATGGAGATGCAAACGCAGGCAGCTCTGCAGAGTTATCAAATTGCCCCATCCTACCCACTCCCAAGGCAGGGAAATAGGGGATGAACTCACCAGCCTTGATAGTGACTCTTTAAGCCCCTGACCAAAAACCCTCTGGAGATCGAGAAGGTCGCTGCTGGCTGCAGGGGCACCATGCAGGATGTCCCCTCGCAGCTGGCGGGGGAGACAGACGATGTGCTACTCCAGAAAGATACATTCTTGGCTGAAGATAGCCAAAGCAGCTCAGTGGAGAACTTCTCTGCTGAAACCCCACCCCTGAGCTGGCCCTCAGCCTCCCTCCTCACCTGCTTGGAGAAGGTGTGTGGCTGGAGAGCCCCTTTTGCAATGCCACTCAAATACCTTCTTTACAAGCCGATGGCTTTCACCTGCACCCTTCCCGTAGCCGAAACCTTGCTGCAAACCACGCTGGCTTCAACAGATCTGCGCTGGCCTGGAAAAAAAAATAGATAGACTTCCTCCATCCCTTCTCTGTTTATGAAATTTCAGTGTGGAAAGGGCCTTCTGAGCAGCCTTGTTGTGTTTCAAAGCAGAAGTCCCAGAGATCAAACCTTTCTTTTTATTCCTGAGACTCCATCTAAAGGTCAATAGCTGGTGGGGTGATGTGAGGCAACGGCAGCATAACGAGGCAGTGTGACATTAATCCCCCTGTGTTGTCTTGCCTGATTAACCCTCACGCCAGCCCCACTGGGTGCTCTCCATCACTGCATGACACCGAGCCACACCAAAAGGCTGTGCTCACGTGTGTTTTTGTTGTGCAAAGTGCTTGACAGGGCAAATTTCCAGACCATGTGAAAGCCACAGGGAAGAAAAGCAGCTGCTCCAGAAAGATGACATAAGGTTTGCCAATTCTAAGAAAATCACATCAATATATGGGAGAAAATGAATGTTATACCCAACCTGCTGGCAGCGCTGCAGCTGCTGTTCGGTGTCTTTGCCATAAAGGACCCCAGCGCTTCCCTGTTGAAATCAATAGGGCAATAGGTCTTTGGTGGCTGCCTGTCCTCCTCGGGCGTATGCCAGTAGGTAACCCCATCGTCTGTAAATATCTGGAGTCGCAGATGTTTCTTTAAAAGCTTTAAAAGGGAATTTGTACTTCATGTATATAATGCACTTCCCAGTTCATTTCTACTCAAAGGTTATTTTTTTGCCAGCATTTCTTCCCCTCTCTATAATGCAAATTCAAGCTAATCCTACTATTGTAGTTTTGCTCCCGTGTGACTCACGTGGGCAATCTACGGCGTGTCATTAAACACAGAAAAAGTTGTTACCGGTCCTAAATGTTAGATGACAATACGTAGCATGCAAAGCATGGTACAAATAACTGTTTGCAGAAGAGTTTAAGGAGGCATTTATGCAGCTGATAACTCCATGTAGCATTAACATGTATAAAAACACCATGGATGTTATGCTAGAAATAAACCCTAACATGAAACAGAAACGTAAAAAAAAAACCCCAGTCCCATAGTATTTCCAATAGAGAGTACTGAAGCTGTTGGTCTGTGGCAGTGCCCGGAGCTGACTAGCGTAAGTATGGAAGTCAGCCCCAAGTTTGCCCTGATGCGTATTTGTTAAATCTGAGCTGTCTGTCTCACCTGACCCTCCTCGCTTAGTTGTGTAACAAGCATGCTTTCACTTGTTCTCCAGCACCAGCTTGTTCCATAAACATGCACTGAAGTACAAGGTTTGTTTGGTTTTTTTTTTTTACAGTGATGACAAATTATCCAACGCATTCGTTTCATATCTATTTTCTCTCCTGCGGGAGCGACCCGTGCTGCCGTGATGACACCCATTGGTGTCTGAAATCTCCTTCCTCAAAAAAATGCCCAGAGTATCTAAAACAGCACTGGGTGCAACCGCTTCGAGATTTCCCTTTCGTTTATACGATGAAGTAGAACATGTGCATCCCAACTGAAAATGGCACAGTAAAACCAACCTTAAAAACCCCAAAATTTTGACTCACCGATGGAAAAATAAATCCTGGAGCCCTTTGCAATTCTGAACTGCGCTGATATTCTCCAAGCCAACGCTGGCCATCGCACTGGCCCAGGGGAGCCGTGATGCCCTGGAGAGCCTTCTCCTTTGCTGCTGAAATCGGAGCGTTATTCGAATCTCTTGGCAGCATTGCAGTGTACAAAAACATCTACTAGAAAAACAACTAAACAGGAAAAAAACAAACACAAAAAGATTGGCATTGCTGGTTCATAGCAAAGACCCCAGGTTTATTCCTGACCCCACTAGCCTACATGCCAGTTTGGCCACTGGTTTCACCTTTGGCTTTGAGAAGCTGAGAGCTGGGTGGGATTTCCAAATGTGGCTTATCAGTTGTTTGCAAATACTCTGAAATTTGATTTCTTAACAAGATTGGAAAATAATAGCATGGAAGTATTTGAGCATGCTTTGGGATCTTCTT